AGGTTGTGTCATCTGCATACTGCAGCTTGTTAATCAGCCTTCCTCCAATCCTGATGCCGCATTCCTCTGCATACAATCCAACTTCTCTGATTGTTTGCTCAGCATACAGATTGAATAAGTACAGAGAAAAGCTACCACCCTTCTGATTTTCAACCTTTAAATAGTCCCTTGTCGTATTTGCACAACTACCTCATGATCCATGCACAGGTCCCACGTGAGCACAGTGAAGGGTTCTGGAATTCCCTTCTCCTCAAGGTTACCCAGCGTGTGTTATGATCTAGCAGTTGAATGCATCGACACAGTCAAGTCTAGTGTTATTTGCATAAAGTACAGTAGGTAACATCGATGGTCCTTACCCAAGAAGAAACGTTACTAAACCAAGAGGGACTAAATGGTGAAAGAAATGATTTTGCAACTTGCACAAAAGAAATAAAGTTAGCAAATAAACATATGGGGGAAAAGTTGTTCTCACTGATAAACCAAGAAGATCCCTCATGGTATCTTGGGTTGACCACATTGTCGTCGCTGTTTAGAGCCTACCAGCCACTCCGCAGGGTAAAAATGCTTGGGTAAGCATTTAGAGCTGCAGAAACCCGGGGAGCAGTCATCCTCTGTCCTGTAGAGTCCCTGTGTCTATCAGAATTGACTCAATGGCAGTGGGTTAATAATTGAAGAAGTGCTCCTTGTTAGCCAGTACCTATTATCAATTTTTCCAATTATAATATCAGCATTTGTAAGATCATGGTGAAACTGCTTCAAGCAGACATACCAATAAGCAAACTTCCTGCCATGCAGTAGATTCTTATTCATAGATACAACATATAGGGTTTCTAAGACTGTAAACCTTTGCAGAAACAGAGTCTTGTCTTTTTCCCATTGAGTGGCTTCTCGGTTTGAACCACCAACCTTGCAGTTAGCAAGCTAATGCCTACACCAAAGCACTGCCAAATAAGTATATTTCAATGCTTATAAATATATATATTAAAGATGTGTATGTAATTTATGTTACTAGATTTTTTTTAATCTTACTCTTTTACTGTCCCTAATATGAAATTTTAAAACATAATCTGATAACAAACATTAAGAATCTAATAAAATTTCCGATTTGGGAATCCATCCTAAAGGAATAGTTAAATAAGGAAAAATGTAATTGATTATCAGTATACTCATTATAACAGTGTTTATAATATTAAAATAGTATAAATAATTCAAATATCCAACAAAAATAGTGCTTAAATATATTATGTTTTCTTCATAGGAAATAACATTATATAGTACCCAAGTAGTGATTATGGAGAATTGATTAGAAATGCTTAAACTATACTTTTAAGCGAAAATGTAAGATGAATTGCTATTTGTTCTATATAAGTTTATATTAAAGAGTACACAAACATATAGAATCAAGATGATAGAATGAAGAGTGCACATATTTGACAATAAAACATCTTTTTATGTTGACTCACCTCTACATTTACTAGTTATTGATTTCTTGCATGTTATATGAGCTCTATAAATAAAAGGGATAATAATTTTTTTGAATAATTTTATTGGAGGCTCATACAACTCTTATCAAATCTATACACACATCCATTGCGTCAAGCACATTTGTACATTTGTTGCCATCGTCATTCTCAAAACATTTTCTTTCTACTTGAGCCCTTGATATCAGCTCCTCATTTTTCCCCTCCCTCCCCACCTGCCCTCCCTCACGAACCCTTGATAATTTATAAATTATTATTTGGTCATGTCTTACACTGTCCGAGGTCTCCCTTCACACGCTTTTCTGTTGTCCATTCCCCAGGGAGGGGGTTATCTGTACATCCTTGTGATGGTTCCCCAAAGAGATAATAATCACCTTATAGAACAGATTAAAAAGTTAAATTACAGGATTTTGTAATCTGTGAGAAAAAGAGAATAGAATTATGGGTGTGTTTTCACTTTCCCTTACTTTTAATGCCACTCATTTTATAGTGTTGTTTTGCACAGGAGCGTATATTTGAATTGGAGACTGCCCTGGTGGTAGAGTGGGCTGAGACCTGACAGGTCAACAGTTCAATCCCCTGTACTCCACTTCAGGAGAAAGAGGAGGCTGTGTGCTCACTTCCAGAAGTACAGCCTCTGAAACCCACAAGGAAAGTTCTACTCTGGCTTGTAGGGTCGAATCAACTCAGTGAAATGAGGTTATTCTTGTTTTAAGTCACCAAAGTAATTTGATACCAGAATTATACACCTCATATTCTAACTATTTGGCTAACTGAGATAACCTAAATTAGTTTTTAAATCATGTTAGCTTATATATTTAACATACCCTTACATAGCTTTTACCACTTTCTCTAAAAACACTGTACCCATTGAATCTTCCTAACAACCTTGCAAGAGCTTTCTAGAAGAAAATTCCTTTACTCTCTTGATGATACAGATGAGAAATTGGCATGCAAAGAGATTTTAGTCACTTGGACAAGGCCACATAGATATATGTGGTAGAGTCAGGACCTGAACTCAGGCAGTCTGGGTTTATGGTAGGTGGTACACTATGCTGCCTCTTGATTCGGTGGATTAAAATATTAAATGAGCATCTATGGTGTTTGGCATTGTGCAGGATTCATGAAAGAGAAGACACAATCCTTAGCTTACGAAAGATGATCCTCTAGACCAGTGGTTCTCAACCTTCCTAATACCTTCACCCTTTAGTACAGTTCCTCGTGTTGTGGTGACCCCTACAATAACATTGTTTTCTTTGCTACTGCATCACTGTCGTTTTGCTATGGCTGTGAATTGCGCGACCCCGGGTGGAGAACCGCTGCTCTAGACCTCAGTTGTTGCTGATCAGGGAAGTGGTTCGCACCCATCACAGTCGTGTCTGCATCAGAAGGAAGCACTGCCTGCTCTTGGGGCATCCTCCCCACGGTCATCATGTTGAATAATTTCCAAATTCCCTAGTTTCAGACATTGTACATTCTGCCTTTTGATTATCCATGAATGTCTGCTGCTGTTTGTTCATTTTGAGTTGTGCCCTGTCCGCACATGAGGGCCCCGAAAGCTTTCCTTCCTCCACGTCGCCCATTACAGTCTGTTCTCCGCCAAGGAGCAGTCCTTGCCCAGTTGTATCCTGAGGCCATCTAATGGAGGGACCTCGTTCTTGCTCACTGTACCAGGCAGTGTCCAGCTGCTGTTCATGAAGTTTCCAGGGGCTAATCCATCAGAACTAGGCAGGCTATTCCCCTCATTATAGTCTGTTCTTTGTCTGGAAACGTAGCTGTTCGCCACAGGTGACTCTGCTGGTATTTGAAATGCAGGTGACTTAGCTTCCAGCATCCCAAGAACATGCAAGCCACCAGAATACGACAAACTGATGGGCAATGGTGAAGGCCTTGGTTACGTTCCTGAAATTCTGTTCCCTCAACTTCAGACAGATGCTATCAGAGAGAGAGGCCTCCTCCTCGGACCAAACACCGGTGTTTCCAAAATTCACACTCGGAAGTCTTAGAGCTTTGTGAAGGTGCCCAATGTTCTGCAGACACTTAGCTCAGCTTTCTCGTCATATATCTAGTTTGATAGTCATGTTCATACATGCTACATGGGTATGCAATCAACATTGTGGCTAAAATTCATTACACATCAAAATACATGTAACACTCGTAGCCTAAATATCTAGCACAGAAAGCCCAATTCATTCATTTTGCTGTTGCCTCGTTATTGTGACTATGTCAGACAGATGCTTCTCCTGCTGTTTCTTTGGAAGAATACTTAAAGAATATTCTGAGGTTGCAAGATAAATTCTTAGAAAGCAGAAAACTTATTACTATTACTATTTATTATTTTTACTTATTTAGAAGATAATATGACATGGTTTATAGTAGTGGCTCTAGAATTAGTCAGAATACTATTTCAGGTATAAATATTTATTATTTGAGTTTGATACATTTCTAAACTCTGTAACACAGTTTCCTTATTTGTTAAATGGGATTAGAGACAATACATACTTCACGTATGAAACACCCTCCCCCCCAGAAAAAACAAACCACTGCCATCAAGTTGATTCCTCTTCATAGAGATCCTGGAGGATGGAGCAGAACTGCTGCCTGGGATTTCGAAGACTGGAAATCTTTACAGGAGCAGACAGTTTCAGCTATTCCCCACAGAGCTGTTCGTGGGTTTGAACTG